AATACTCAGTAAAACTTGAACATGAGCAAATTCACGTCACCATTATTCTAAGAATAATGAAATGAAGATGTATTGCTAAGAAATGGGTTAATTTATGAATATGAATCTTGAAGTGTTACCAGATTTAATTTGATCTAAATGGTTCAATGCATCTTTTTCTTTTATTCAGAAGTGTCCTTATTTATTACAATTATTCTTATTACAAATTTGTGCTCTGTTGATATGGTTTTAGATATTATCTTTTAATGAGAATTATACCTAATTAAGTTTTCTGTTTTAGTTTGTGTGTTGTCTTTATGCTATGAAAAGTGGACTCAATTTAAAACATAATTTAACATTTTATGCCTTTTTATAAATCTTTTTTTAATTGGGAAGATCTTTACATACAGTTTAACAATGGTATTTAAGGCAAGTGCAAAACATACCATGGTTAAATACAGAATTGCAACACAAAATAAAATTCTTTGCTATTTTGTATACTCAGTAGGGCTGTCGATTAATTGCAGTTAACTCACGCGATTAACGCAAAAAAATTAATCGCGATTAAAAAAAATTAATCATGATTAATGGCAGTTTTAATTGCATTGTTAAACAATAGAATACCAATTGACATTTATTAAATATTTGTGGATGTTATTCTACAGTCTCAAATATATTTATTTCAATTACAATACAGAATACAGTGTACACTGCTCACTTTGTTATTTTTTATTACAAATATTTGCACTGTAAAAATAATAAACAAAGAAACAGTATTTTTCAGTTCACCTCATACAAGTACTGTAGTGCAATCTCTTTATCGTGAAAGTGCAACTTACAAATGTAGATTTTGTTTGTTTGTTACATAACTGCACTCAGAAACAAAACAATGCAAAACTTTAGAGCTTACAAGTCCACTCAGTCCTACTTGTTTAGCTAATTGCTAACACAAGCAAGTTTGTTTATATTTACAGGAGATAATGCTGCCCACTTCTTATTTGCAATGTCGTCAGAAACTGAGAACAGGCGTTCACATGGGACTTTTGTAGCCGGCATTTACATGCCAGATATGCTAAACATTTGTATGCACCTTCATACTTTGGCCACCATTCCAGAGGACAGGCTTCCATGCAAATGACACTCATTTAAAAAATAATGCATTAATTAAATTTATGACTGAACTCCTTGGGGGAGAATTGTATGTCTCCGGCTCTATTTTACCCGCATTCTGCCATGTATTTCATGTTATAATAGTCTCGGATGATGACTCAGCACATGTTCATTTTAAGAACACTTTCACTGCAGATTTGACAAAACGCAAAGAAGGAACCAATGTGAGATTTCTAAAGATAGCTACAACACTTGACCCAAGGTTTAAGAATCTGAAGTGCCTTCCAAAATCTGAGAGGGATGAGAAGTAGATCATGCTTTCAGAAGTCTTAAAAGAGCAACACTCTGGTGCGGAAACTACCGAACCCGAACCACCAAAAAAGAAAATCAACCTGACTCAGATGATGAAAATGAACATGTGTTGCTCCACACTGCTTTGGATTGTTATCGAGAAGAACCCGTCATCAGCATGGATGCATTTCCTCTGGAATGGTGGTTGAAGCATGAAGGGACATATGAATCTTTAGTGCATCTGGCATGTAAGTATCTTGCAACGCCGGCTACAACAGCGCCATGAGAACACATGTTCTCACTTTCAGATGACATTGTGAACAAGAAGTGGGCAGCATTATCTCCCGCAAATGTTAAACAAACTTGTTTGTCTGAGTGATTGGCTGAACAAAAATAGGATAGAGTGGACTTGTAGGCTCTAAAGTTTTACATTGTTTTATTTTTGAATGCAGTTATTTTTTTGTCCATAATTTTACATTTGTAAGTTCAACTTTCATGATAAAGAAATTGCACTACAGCACTTGTATTAGGTGAATTGAAAACTACTATATCTTTTGTTTTTTACAGTGCAAATATTTGTAATCAAAATAAATATAAAGTGAGCACTGTACACTTTGTATTCTGTGTTATAATTGAAATCAGTATATTTGAAAATGTAGAAAACACCCAAAAATATTTAAATAAATGGTATTTTATTACTGTTTAACAGCACGAGTAATCACAATTAATTTTTGTAATTGCTTGACAGCCCTAATACTCACTGTTCAATTTTCTTAATTTAACAAACTCAAATACATTTAATGCAAAACTTGCTAATACTTTCAGAAGAAAAAAATCCTTCAGATAGAAATTAAAAGGTACAGTGACTAGAATGAAATCACTGTAAGCTACATGGACACTTTTCAAAGACGCCATAATAGAGGCCCAACTTAAATGTATACCCCAAATTAAAAAACACAGTAAAAGAATTTAAAAAGAGCCACTGTTCCTTAACAACCATGTAAAAGAAGCAGTGAGAGATAAAAAGGCATCTTTTAAAAAGTGGAAGTCAAATCCTAGTGAGGTAAATAGAAAGGAGCATAAACACTGCCAAATTTAATGTAAAAATGTAATAAGAAAAGTCAAAAAGGAGTTTGAAGAACAGCTAGCCAAAAACTCAAAAGGTAATAACAAAATGTTTTTTAAGTACATCAGAAGCAGGAAGCCTGCTAAACAACCAGTGGGGCCCTTGGACGATCAGGCTACAAAAGGAGCACTTAAAGACGATAAAGTGATTGCAGGGACACTAAATGAATTCTTTGCTTCAGTCTTCACGGCTGAGGATGTTAGGGAGATTCCCTAACCTGAGCCGTCCTTTGTAGGTGACAAATCGGAGGAATTGTCACTGATTGAAGTGTCATTAGAGGAGGTTTTGGAATTAATTGATAAACTTAACATTAACAAGTCACCGGGACCAAATGGCATTCACCCAAGAGTTCTGAAAGAACTCAAATGTGAAATTGCGGAACTATTAACTATGGTTTGTAACCTGTCCTTTTAAATCAGCTTCTGTACCCAATGACTGGAAGATAACTAATGTAACGCCAATATTTAAAAAGATCTCTAGAGGTGATCCCGGCAATTACAGACCGGGAAGTCTAACGTCCATACCGGGCAAATTAGTTGAAACAATAGTAAAGAATAAAATTGTCAGACACATAGAAGAACATAACTTGTTGGGCAAAAGTCAACATGGTTTCTGTAAAGGGAAATCATGCCTTACTAATCTATTAGAGTTCTTTGAAGGGGTCAACAAACATGTGGACAAAGGGGATCCAGTGGACATAGGGTACTTACATTTTCAGAAAACCTGTGACAAGGTCCCTCACAAAAGGCTCTTACGTAAATTAGGTTGTCATGGGATAAGAGGGAAGATCCTTTTATGGATTGAGAACTGGTTAAAAGACAGGGAACAAAGGGTAGGAATAAATGGTAAATTTTCAGAATTGAGAAGGGTAACTAGTGGTGTTCCCCAAGGGTCAGTTCTAGGACCAATCCTATTGAACTTATTCATAAATGATCTGGAGAAAGGGGTAAACAGTGAGGTGTCAAAGTTTGCAGACGATACTAAATTGCTCAAGATAGTTAAGACCAAAGCAGACTGTGAAGAACTTCAAAAAGATCTCACAAAACTAAGTGATTGGGCAACAAAATGGCAAATGAAATGTAATGTGGATAAATGTGTAGAGTAATGCACACTGGAAAAAATAATCCCAACTATACATACAATATGATGGGGGCTAATTTAGCTACAACTAATCAGGAAAAAGATCTTGGAGTCATCGTGGATAGTTCTCTGAAGACGTCCACGCAGTGTGCCGCGGCAGTCAAAAAAGCAAACAGGATGTTAGGAATCATTAAAAAAGGGATAGAGAATAAGACGGAGAATAGCTTATTGCCCTTATATAAATCCGTGGTATGCCCACATCTTGAATACTGTGTACATATGTGATCTCCTCATCTCAAAAAAGATATACTGGCATTAGAAAAGGTTCAGAGAAGGGCAACTAAAATGATTAGGGGTTTGGAACGGGTCCCATATGAGGAGAGATTAAAGAGGCTAGGACTTTTCAGCTTGGAAAAGAGGAGACTAAGGGAGGATATGATAGAGGTATATAAAATCATGAGTGGTGTGGAGAAAGTGAATACGGAAAAGTTATTTACTTGTTCCCATAATATAAGAACTAGGGGCCACCAAATGAAATTAATGGGCAGCAGGTTTAAAACAAATAAAAGGAAGTTCTTCTTCATACAGTGCACAGTCAACCTGTGGAACTCCTTGTCTGAGGAGGTTGTGAAGGCTAGGACTATAACAGCGTTTAAAAGAGAACTAGATAAATTCATGGAGGTTAAGTCCATTAATGGCTATTAGCCAGGATGGGTAAGGAATGGTGTCCCTAGCCTCTGTTTGTCAGAGGGTGGAGATGGTGGCAGGAGAGAGATCACTTGATCATTACCTGTTAGGTTCACGCCCTCTGGGACACCTGGCATTGGCCGCTGTCAGCAGACAGGATACTGGGCTGGATGGACCTTTGGTTTGACCCAGTATGGCCATTCTTATGTTCTCTACCTATATTGGTATCAGATTCAAGTTCAAAAAATTAATGTAGCTGAAAACCCAATGTTTCATTGAAAATAAGCTACATTATATTTTTCCTGAGGAGTATCTGCTTTCCAAGGAAAAGTCAACTTTTCTGTCAAAACACTGAACACCCAGGTCTTGCCTAAAATCTTTTTCACATATTTTGATGTGTATGGGTTTAGATTTTTCCCCCATCCCCCAAAGTCAACATTTTCCAGGGAAATTTTGTTTTGGATTCATCAAAGTCTTCTGCAGGGAAGGGGATCAGTTTCTGACAATTTCTACTGTAAAACTTCTTAATCTATAGTTCATCAGGTTGTTGTTTAAATATGTATTATAAACAATAAAGTTGCAAAACTTGAGATTCTTATAGTCTCTTCACACTTAAGTCACGGTTTTCTACGGAAAGCAATTTTGTAGTTTCTGCAAAACCCACACTTGATAGTGGCTATAATTTTCCCTTTTAAATAACTGGCTTTTTGTTTTGTTTGCTTTGTAGAGACTTGAAGCCTGAAAATATTCTCCTTGATGACTGTGGTAAATAAACATAAACTTCTTGGCACGTACACTAAAAATGTATAAATGTATTCTGAGTACAGTGCAAAGATATTTAAGGTGGTTTAGCAATTTCTCTACAATACCAGAGACATAATTAATAAAATTTTAGCATGCAAGTGTGCTTATATGAGTGGAAAAAAGATTGACTGTTCTTGCTTTACCGAAAGTAATAGAACACACTGCAATTTCATTCCTTGATTCTTTCAGACAGCTTTTAGCACTGGATCTAATGTGGCTAATTGAGGTCTTCATGGGGTTGACTGGAAGACAATTTTACCTGAGTTCTGCAAACAAGAATTCATACAGGCATGCACAGTAGTACAGAATTCCCTCAGGAGTAAAAGACTTGGTCTGAGACAATTACAAAATGGGGCATCATCGTCTAGGATCTTCCACTTGTGTGCTAATTTATATTTGATATTCTTCATTTTTATCAGTTGCTTCTAAATGCTCTATGCAAAATTATGTAATATTCATACTACAGTTAAGCTTAGAGACCCCCACTGAGATTGCCCTACTATTCTAGGCACTGTACAAACATGTATGAAGACACTGCCCCTGTCCTAAAAGCTATCAAAATGTGTTTTCTTTATCTTATTACTAAAGCTGATTGGAAATTTGCCATTTAAATGATTTTTCTAATGGAAAATACAGTTTCTACTGAACTGATTTTTTTTTGTGGGGGGAAAATTTAGATTTTTTGCCTGATTATTTTGATTTTTTTCTCGCAGCACAAAAATCAATTAGTTTGTTAGGAATAGAGCCAACCCAAATCAAAATATTTTGGTTTGTTGAACTGAACCAAAATATTTAATTTTGAGTCAGTTCAACATTAAATTTCAACTGCCTGTGGTGACACAGTATCTCATGAATGTTGTAGTTTGGGTAATTTGTGTTGCTCCCATTTTTCCCTATGGAATGGGCTCCCTGGGTGGACTCTCTCCCCTGATGCCCTGTGGTCTCCCCTCTCACCAAGCAACATGGTGCCTTATGGGAGTTAAATGAGTGTAGTGTATTATAGTAGACGTAATCTGATTAGAGAGCCTGGCCTATGCAGAGGAATAAGGGCATGACACATCTGAATTACAACTTCTTGAGGCATTGCAGAACCATTGACTGATGCAGTTTAATGTTGAACTGATTTGAACATATTTAATTTAATTAAATTTAATTTTACACTTTCAAAAAATTTTGATTTTGGAACTTGTTCTTTGAAACATTCTGATTCAGTATGTGAAACAAATGTTGAAATATCAGAATTTCCTGTGGGATGGATATTCTACTTTTCACTCTGTTCTAGTTATTACAATGTCTTTGAGAGGAAACTGATAATTTTGCATAATCTTTCTCACATAAAGAATGAAATGGAGCAAGCTCCAATGTTCTACTAAGAAGTCAAGAAGCTTAATACAGTATAATAAAGACTTAAATATGATACTATATTGCCATTCCTTTGGCTGCTGAATAAACATAGGAGTTGAAATGGAAACTCAGAAAGCCTATTCAGCCTACAGTCATGTTTTCATGTGAAGTATTCCGTACCATGCTCAGCCACAAATTTCTTGTGTGAATTTGAGCATATCAGTTCTGTGCCTCATTTTTTCCAATTTGTAAAATGGAAGGATAAGACGACACAAAGATGTTTTTTGATTAAATTGATTAAAGAGCTTATGGCTATGTCTCTCAGGGGTGTGGAATTTACTTCAGGATAACTAAGTCTGTCAGGGGTGTGAAAAATCCATACCCCTCAGAGATGTAGCCATACTAACCTAACCCCCCTTATAGACCAGCGCTAGGTAGACCAAAGAATTCTTCGGTTGAACTAAATACCACCTCTCAGGGAGATATACTACCTATGCCCGTGGGAGAAGCCCTTCTGTCTGTGTAGGTAATGTCTTAGCTCTAATAAGTGATTTGTTGGGATGGAGGGTGAAGGATACTATGGAAATCCCATATATTTGAAAATGCTAATACTTCATTCCTTGTTGAATTTGTGTAATTAATTTCAATGTAAACAGGACACATCAGGATTTCAGATCTTGGATTAGCTGTGCAGATCCCAGAAGGAGAAACAGTCCGAGGGCGGGTTGGAACAGTTGGATACATGGGTATGTAAAATGCCTGTAGCTAGCTAAACCATACTAGTGAGGTCTATTACACTTGCTTAAGTATAGGTGACTCTAGAATACAGAATCATACTGGGTTTGATTTGGTTTTGGGACAGTATTAGTGTGAAGAAAAGATACAGTATGTGAATAGGTGTGTCATGCTGTCTGTAATGGCTCACAACCGTGAGTTCCAGCCTCAGGGCAGACTGTCAAAAAGCAGGGTAGAAACCCCAATCTGATTGTATATTATATCATTAGATTTCACCAACCCAGTAACAAGTGTGAACTACTAACATACTAACCAGTCTTACTATGCAGTCACAGACCGTCCCCTTGGGCATTCCAGTCTATCTTGTCACGCAGGCAAGCTGGACTATGTGATAGATGGTCATTTTATACCAAAAATCACAAAATTCAGCTTACTCCCGGTCCCAAAGGACTAGTCTCTTACCTCAGGTCAGTAGTCTTTGGGCTGAGATCTGAGTACAACGCCTGTAGTTAATCCTGTAATAAACTAACTAAAGATTTATTAAATAAGAAAATAAATAAGGTGTTTTTTTTAACAAGGTTAAAAAACATATGTACACAAATGAGTTAGTCTTAGGGTTAAAAAGGTACTATAAGCTTCTATAATAAGCAGTTCTATATGTCCGGGCTGGCCCATGCTAGACAGCATGGGGATCTCTTGCTTATGTTTATGAATATTTGTCCCCGAGAGTCCAGAAACCATCAAAAATCCAGTTTCTCCTTTTCAGGGATTTTTACCCCCCTCTCTCCCCCACCCACCCACCATAGAATCCAAGCTGATAGGATAAGTGCTCCTGCACATAACCTCTTCATGGGTGGGTGGGGAGAACAATTGACAAAGTCTTTGTTCCGCAGTGGCCCACTTGGATTCAGTAATCCTTCCAGATGGCCAGGAAATAACACGTGTTGGGGTAAATTAATATTTCGCACATGGTAATGCTTGTCTCCTGACTGTGGGGAATTTACAGTCTTAACAAACGTTTGTATAGTTACAGAGAAAACTTTTAAACATTACCCTAATTACATGGGATACAGATATAAGTAGGATTAATACATGCAGCATCCCACAACCATTCCATAAAGTCTAAATACATTGTTATAACTCTAATATTTATTTTGATAATGCTAACAAACAAGTAAGCAAGAATGGTTTCCAGCGATGCATTTGAAAGTGTTCAATGAGGCCTAGGCACCTTGAGGCCTAGGCACCTTGGCATGAGCTGGCACCTGGTCTGCCAGCTTCACAAGGTCATGTTTGATAAAATTACAAAATTAAATTTTAGATGTAGCCATCTCAGAAAGTTAATTATTCTGGGTAAAATTTTCAAAAGCACCTAAATCTCATTGACATTGTTTGACTCGAAGCTCCTAAGTGCACAAGTCACTTTTGAAAATGTGGCTTGGACTCCTAAGTCACTTAGGTGCTTAGCTTGTGAAAATTTTACCTTCATTTAAAAAATGACTTAAGGATCTAGAAAAGAAGCAATTAAGGACCTACAGTTAGCTGAGCAAAAGAGTCCTTAATATGGGAATGAGGACTTTCTGTAATTCTGGACATCCACTATTACTGTACAGTCTGTTTTTAGGAGAGTGCAATGTTAGCTTAGTGGATTTGTTTTACTGATCAAATAATGGAAAAAAACTAAAACACATTAATCTTTCTATTTTTTATTTTTGGTAGCTCCAGAAATCCTCAACAATGAAAGGTATACATTCAGCCCTGACTGGTGGGGTCTTGGCTGCCTAATTTATGAAATGATTCAAGGACAATCACCATTCAGGAAGCGTAAGGAAAAGGTCAAACTGAATGAGATAGACCGAAGAGTGAAGGAAGACCAGGAAGTGTACTCGGACAGATTCTCAGAGGAGGCAAAATCCATCTGCAGGATGGTGGGTGAAGAGACGTAGAGGTTTGGAAATTAAATTTCTAACACTCTTTAAAGAGCTGAAATTTTAAATTTTAGTGTCTTTATTTTGTTGGAAATTTTTCATAATTCAGGTGACATGGCTTAGGTGACCTACATAGGTCGTTTTCATCTCTTTTTGTGATTCAACTATTGATATGATAGAAGTCCATAAACAGTTCCATGCTGTTGTTGTCAGACTTAGGAACTGAGGACTTCTCTTCATGTTTGTTGCGTTGTAACTTACAAAATGGTGTACTTTATAGATGTCGTAGTCCATATCCTCAAGCTAAACCACAGTTTAAACGTAGCATAACCAAGGGCAGAGTTAAGCCATCTCAACAGAAAAAAAACTGGGATTTAATATGGGGAAGATGTGGTAGAAAAGCAGCATATTAGTTCTCTTGTGTAAAGAAAAAGACCATGTAATAGGACAGCTTGGTTTTTTTACCTTTATTGACTGGAGTAAAATCCAGTTAAATTTGGTAGATAACATGCATTTACACAGTTGAAGAGTTTTTTAGAAAAATAATATTTATAATATATATGTTTGTTATGGTTGATTTATAAAAATATCTTGTCTAGAGTTACTAACATACGGAAACAATTTTAGATCTGCATTTGAGGAAAGCAAGATATGTGGCAAAGCATATATGATCACCAAGTATATAAACATAAGTACATAGAGATAACTTAGCAGCTCATTAAACTATGGGTAGAACCTATAATAATTAAAAAGCAGAATGTTTGTAACTTAAACTGGTCTAACGAAAATACTTTAATGCTCTTAAGCCACATATTTCAGATTCTCAGTTCTTTAGAAGTTAACACTTTGGTACAGCATTCAATTGCAGATTTCAGTAAGCAAAGGAGCCAAAAAAACCCTATATATATTTTTCTATTGAAAAATACTGTATAGATAATTTTTAAAAGGGCATATATATAAAAGACTAATCCAGTGATATATTTACTATTTCTGTGCAGTTACTTGCCAAAGATCCAAAGGAACGATTGGGGTGCACTGGAGATGGAGCTGCTGCTGTAAAACAGCATCCCATTTTCAAGAATATTAACTTCAAGAGACTGGAAGCAAACATGTTAGAACCTCCGTTTTTACCAGATGTAAGTAGATGAGACAGATGTATCTAGTACTTAAATAGACACAATATACTTCTATGTTAATTAAATCAATTTGCACTGGAAAATAGGAAGGGTGTGTGCAGAAGCTAGTTATTATCTGCAAAGGGGATTGAATAGGGAGGTGGCAATATTTGTAGATGATTGACCTGAATTTTGTGCAAAGACTTAGGAGAGCCCTGTCTCCAGAGAGTCCTGACAAAATTATTTAAATAGGCAACACAATGCAAATGTAATTCAGTGTTGTCTAATGATGATATTTAGCTGTTTATATGACACTTCCTTTTGTAAAGGGTTTTGAGACCCATGTCCCAAGTACAGCTCGAAGGGGCTGTGAAGTTGGTTCCCCAGCTCTTTAAATCACTACTTCCCCTGCCCCTGACAAATGAAGGTTGGGCACTGAGAAACTTCCCTGGGATTGGGAGTCAGTGGGCAGAGCAGGAGTCAACTGCCACAGCCTCAGGATGTGAGAGGGACCAAGTTGCTATAGTACTTCCTTTCTCTGTCAGAGCTCCCCCTGGGTCCTAGTGACCATTAATTTTGCTGCTCTTGGTTGCATGCAACCCACCGGGTGTCATTTCATGACCCCCTATAGGTCTCACACCACTTGTTAAGCAGTACTAGTCTAGAGGGTATAGTAGTATCCTTTTGGTGTTCAGGTAAATAAATAGAGAATAGGCAACAATGTGAACCTAAGATATTTTTTTTTAATTGCCCAGTTTTCTCTGAAAATAAAAATTCTGTCAAAGAAGCAATCATTGTTTCATATTGCAGCCACGTGCAGTGTATTGTAAGGATGTCTTGGATATAGAGCAATTCTCCACAGTAAAAGGAGTGAACCTGGATACTACAGATGATGACTTCTATTCCAAATTTGTTACAGGTTGCGTCTCAATCCCTTGGCAAAATGAGGTACTGTACTTTGAACAAGTCCTGTTTGTGTTAGTGTAACAATAATGAACATTAAAAAATACAAAACTGTTTAACTTCCTTAACCGGGCTTTATGATGAAACTTCCTTTTTACTTCAGGCATTTGCTCCAGAATGTTCCCAACTAACAGCCCCATTGACAATTTGATAGGAGCCCAAGGACCATACTTAACTTGCATAAAATTGAACAGATGGAAGCTGAATCACCCTATGCTTTAGTGAATGCTGCCCAGAAAACAATAGCATCCGCTACAATGAACACACTTCTTGTTTTGATCCTGTCTCTGAAAGATTTCTAATATTATCATTCAAAGCAGTGGGACCTGAATGAGCGCCATTCAAAGTACAAAAAAAAATTTACTCAACGTTAGCTGTTATTACAGGGGTCTCAAATAGATCATACCTGTGTATTCATGTTGAGAGCAGCCAGGAGCCACAGTGTAGAACTCTGTGGACTATCCTTGCTCTAGGTTTTCAGAACAAGCAGTTATTACTTTAATCAAACATTACTAGATATTGCTTTCTAAATAAGTATTCCAAACTGACTAATGAATGAATTCATTTAGGACTATGTATAGAGTTAATTCCCCCTACCAATGTGGCTGACACACTGGATTGATTGTAATTAATGAGATTGCATATCCAGCTTCACCTACTCCAGGTTAGGCTGCCCTGAAACAGAAGATGGGAGAAAGAGATATCCATGTTTATGTATTGGCATGGATTAAATCCAGTTCAAGAAGTTGTGCATGTTGCAGTTTGGGCAATGGAAATTCAGCAGCAAAGTGTGTGTTTGTTGGGGTGGAGGGATGTGGGGCACTCTTATAAGAGTGCTTTTATGTTATGGTTCAAACAAGAATTATAGAAAGCTGGTCTTAGTTTCTTCACATAAGGGCCCAGATTTATGGCTATACTGTGTCTGCTTTTTGCATGATCACTGTCACAAAGCAGCCATAAATTCAGTGGACTTGCCCGTGCAATAGAGAGGGTGTGGCTAGAGAAGCTGCTGTGTCCTGCTGATCCCTGTCAGCTGTGTTGGCTTTCCAGGACTGAGAGTAGCTAATTGTAAAATAAAATACCTTTTAGGTTGCACAAAGGTGGTTAAAGCTATTTTGTGTCTTCCTCTATGTGGCCCTGGTTCAGCAAAGAATCCAGTTGTTATGCATCTTGCATGAACTGGAATAATGTCTGGGGGTCTTTATATGACTGAGTTTTTCATTTGTGTATCTTCTCTTTCCATGTAGATGATTGAAACAGAATGCTTTCAAGAGGTCAATATATATGAACCTGATGTCACTTTGTCACAAGACCTAGATATGAGCAAAGATACTCCTAGACCAAAGAGAGGCTTCTTTCACAGACTCTTCATGGGAGGGGTAAAAGTACTAGCTATGGCTTTTTGGTTTTTTTAATACAATACAAATATATATTACTTTTTTGCCTTTGCTTTTTAAATTAATTTAAAATGTTTATCAAATGACAGTCTCTCACTATTTATAAAAAAGGCTTATAATGGAAAAAAATCATCAAAACTGTAGATTGGACTAAATGTAGATGTCTGATATGATCACTGAATGGACAGTGATTCCGAAGAAGAAATGTTAGGAGACAAACATCAGGATATTTTAGGGTTGTGTGTATATTTTGAGATAAGTTGTTGTTTGGGAGTTGGTGTAGATAAACATGGGTTCCCCAATGAGCAAGTTAACTCCACTTCTAAGACCTAATGTTTAATAAATATATTAAAATATCTTAAAATTGAGCAATCTTTAGGAATCGCACCCCAAAATATTTACCATGAAAGACATGAGAAACATAGGTTGTTTTAATACAGTCTATTGGCATATATATTTGACCAAAATAGGCTGTTTACTAGTGTGTTTCACATGCAGACGAGCATATACAATTTTGTTTGCTCTGCGTATACAAATTCAGAGTGAAATTGTTTTGGGAAGGATAAGTTCATCCCAGTAAAGAACCATAGAAATAATGTTGGCTTTCAATAGAGATTTAATTATTTTAAATCGCTAGGAACAAATCATGAAGCATCCGCATTATAGCTGTGCATTATAATAGCACATTAAACATTTTTGTCATCGATTGGGCATTTGAATGTTGGTGTGAACTGACCTTTTGGTTACGATAAAAAAGACTTTTTAAACAAGGAAAAACAACAGAGTACCATTTTTAGAAAATATATTTGATCTATACCTATAAGAAAATTTCCAGTTTGTTTTTAACATAGGAATGATGTGTTACCTGCCTATACCTTATTCAGGAATCTAGTCTTTGGATGCCTATGAATGATTCCCATTTAAGTTATTGACAGCTAGATAGCTACACTGAGGGAAGACTGGACATCTGCATTCTTTTGATTTGAAACTATTTATATTGAATGTGGACATTCAATTATTCATATGAGAAATATAAAAGAAGAAGTATTTTAATCCCTACACTGTCCGAGTATCAGAAAATTCACTAAGGCCTTGAAACATAGAACCAAAATATGTAGGTTAATTTATACAGTCATATGACATTTTGTTACTGATTCATCCAGTACAGTTATCTCTGGCTGATCCACAGGAGACTACATAACAAAATACTGTTTTCAGCTTTTGCAGGCACTGTGCTATCCCAGCTGGTGAATGAAAAATAATTTGCAAATGTACCAATAGTTCCTAGGCTAGCATGGCTGCAGTCAAAATGTTGGTCTTTTGACCACAGTTTTGCTTTGCATTTGTATAGCTGATTATAATTTTTTGTTTGCCTAAGGTGTCCTCAAAAACTGGGCTTTGTATTGATGAAGAATGTTTGCAAATATTTTATGGGTTGAGGTCCTTCAATTGGCTATGAAATACTGTTTATAAATCTTGTCTTCTGTTACTGACTTCACAAGGAAAGAATTAAAATAAGGTTAGATGAAGTGAAAATAGTCTGAGCTTTGGTTTGAGGTGGCTGCTACTTCCTTTTGATATCCACAAAACTACTTATTTAGTAGAAAAAGTATATGGACTCTGTAAAAGAATATGTATAGACTCTATTTATTTAAAACAAACAAACAAACAAAAAACCAAGCAAAAAAAACCAAGCCAACCACAAAATACCAGCTGTGCTACTTATTTAACTAAATGCAGCCATTTTGTCTTGTCTCTTTCTCAGGTCTGTTTTAAATCTGGTTACATTGATGATGAAGAGGAGTTCTCTAGACTCTAAATCAGAGAATTGTAGCCAAAAAATAAAAGGATGAGTGAACTCTGAATGTTTTTATCTATGTAAAGTGTATTATAAATGTAAAAAATTATGTATGGGCTTACAGATATTGTATATTTGTACTTTAGTTTTAAGTGTCAAGATGTATATTTTCACTAAATCTTTATTGTACAAAAGCCAAGAGTGCCACTTAAGTGTAAGCATGTATGTGTGATATATTATGTATTTTAATTGGAATGAAGCTGGAAATGCTTAAAGGTTTTAAAGTACAGAAACTTATGCTATCTATGATATGGATGTTACTTGGCTTTGGGGATTATGTTGTTGTTGTTCCTGGCAACTCTACTGAAAGGCACTGTTTCTTATTCCTCAGAATATTATTTAGGTTTGTTCTCAACAGCAGACTCGTTATACTGATTAGTATTAATATTTCTGGTGTAAATAGCACTTCATTTCTGTTTGCTGTCAGATTGCACTCTAATATAATTCCCAAGTCATTTAAAATGAAACTGCTAGGAAAAGAAGGAATGAGTTCAGTGCACTGTGACCAGTTTCTGTAAAATACTTTTTACAAGTTGGGATTTAAAGACTATTTGTTTGTCTCAAGTTGTTCCTGTTTTGTATATTGTGTGTAATATGTAATGCCTTATTTTTTAAACAAACTTAATTTCTCCAAATGTTGATATCAGGAGACAGTAATAGATTTCTGACTAAGTATATATATTTTCCCCCATTTATCAGAAAGATAAATGGTTTCTCTGTATCTTTTTAGAATAATTGCCTTTCTATTCATATCTTTGTCAGGAGTGAACACAACAGGAATTCCAGATTTTTTAGAAGTAGTCATTTATGCTTTTGGTCCATAGCTTTTCCCCATCCCCACTCTAGCTATAGCTTATCTGAGTAAGGCCTTTGTCTACACTGGAATCAGAACCATGCCAGCTATACAACTTGACTATGTTTTGAATGTTTCATGGTTATTGCTAACGGAATTTTCCTAAGCACTGTGGACAGAACTTTTTTCCCTGAGATTGTTAGCCAACTCCTTGCTATAGGGTTTCATTTATAGCAAGGGTTGGTAAGTTGGAATCTCAAAAAATGGTATGATCTGATCTACCACACAATACCTCCTTGCTTATTGCTATTGTAGATTCTTACATTTTGGTTACAGCATTGTCTGTGATCATGACTACTGAGTAAAAATAAAACTAATAATTAAGAATCTTTCTGTATGAACTCTTAAACTCATCAAAAAAGAATAATTTCCTAAGAACCAAGTCCCACTGATATTCTTTCTTAAAGGTGGAACTGGTACTGCTGCCTGTAGATATGATTGCTCAAGACTTCCCATTATAAGACCCAGTTTTTTGTTGCTTATAACTTTGCCAAATTTTATCCTGCTTGGCTGAAGCTATCCATCCCAGATGTCTGCCTGACTCTTTCTACCTACCTACTAAAATTGTTCAGATGTTTCTAAGATCACATTAAGGTCCAAACAACACATTTTGCCCATGTTAAAAATATTCTTACAACTATTTCATTGAGAGTCTGTAATGCTTCCACACGTTGGATCAGGAACTTGAAATTTGGGCAGGGGAGTTTACCCCGAGTCAGGGGTGTGCCTTTACCATCCCCAGAAAAACCTGTCCAAATTTGACCAAGTGATAAAACCAAATTGAAGTTTGTGCATACTCAGAGACTTGCTTGCCAGCTAAATTTTCTGAAGATTCCATCTGCACTGAGCATGCTCCATTCCCCTCACAGCTTCTGTGTGACAACTGCACTGCATTTATGCCATTTGCACAGAGCAACTGAGCATGCTTCAACCCAAGGCTCAGAACAGGACTTTTCCTGCAAATGCTGCTCCTGGCTGCGCGGGGTAGTTGTAACCCATAGGCACATGATCTGAGATCAGGGAGACTCTCCTGTGCTTTCAATATTCCAATTGCTGGCACCCAGGTAGTATGGAGAAGGAGGAAATGGCCGCATTGGAATGCACAGAAGTGGGAAATGGGGCAAGAAAGAATGTGAGGGGGTTGCAGGAACTAGAGGCTTGGGGAAGCAGAGGAGGAGTGGGACAGGAGCCAGGGGATGGGAGGTTGGATTGACTCAGATGGAGAATGAGCATGAGCTGGAATGGTGCACATAAAAGCAGAGGTAGACAGAGGGACTGGGGTATAGGAGTAAGGGCATATCCACTGGAGAATTTGGGACATTTACCAGATAGATAACAGTGGTATTGCTTCTCTAATTTGATTAATATAAAACTTCTGGTGTTTAGTGTAGTGATACAAAGGTAACAGTAACAACAGCGGACATACGGAGTGACATATGGACTTAATATCAGCTTAGAGCAATTTGGGCAAGAATCCCATGGCCCCAGCCTGAGTGGTTTTAAATGATGAGACCACAGGTATCAGCTTTAAACAGATTAAAGAAAATAGTATATTTTTATTTGCCATGCATGTCAAGGATATTATCTTTTTTATATAGACAATACCTTAATTAGGAAATCAACTACTATAACACCCTTAGTCTATCTAATCTAAACAGAAAGTTCTATTTCCATAACACAGGACAGCAGCTAATGAAATAAGAGTGCTAAAAATTTTGGAGAACTGAAAGATTTGCAGAAAGTACACCAGTGACTTCTTATAACTAATCCACAATAAATAGCAAGTGATCACCACCCTTCTCAATAATCCGAGTTCTTAGTCATTACTCACCTAAGTACAGGAAAACAATGCAAGATGCATGCAAGGCTTCCATTGACTACAGTGATGGCTGCATTTTTTTGCCATGAGGGAGTCATAGATTTTTAACATTATATCCATGATTTCTGAGACTTTGGGTTGTAGATAGGTGGATGTAATAATGAACAGTTGAATCAATTTTACTAAGAACTTTAAGTTTTAAATTTGATGACTCAATCTACAAAGAGAGGTAGAGACAGATGGAAATCCAGTACTGTAGAGGGATCTGTACAGTGCTTCTGTCCCTGCTGCCTTTGCAGAGACAAGCAAATTGTGCCATAAAGGCAGCATTAGAGTCTCTTGCCTGCCCATCTTCCCATGCTACTTCTGTGCACTGAGGGCCTGATCTTGTGCCATTTAAGTCAGTAGAAGTTTTACTGATGACTTCAGTCGGAGCAGGGTTGGGGCTCTAGTGGGAAAGCAAGGGAAAATGGTTCTAAATGGTTTTACTTTTATGTCCTGTTTCTATAAACACTTATGCATATGCTAAGCTTCCGAGTTTCCCCACTGGGACTGCTCAAAGCAGTAAAGTTAAACATATGCATAAGTGTTGCCAAGATTAGGGCCTAGGTCACGTTTCAGTGAGTTTAAATTGACATTTTGTGACAAAAGACATTAATTTGTCTTTTTGCCTCTTATTAAGTGAGCAGTCTGACTTTGGGGTTTTTTACCATGGCAGAGCACTAGCCTCAGCACTTTATATAAGGAATCAGTAAACTAAAACTGTCACCATTGCGAACATCTAAGATAGTAAAAGTAACTAAGAAGACATAAAACATGACCAAATACTAGTGAAGAGATATTGCCTAATGTGATTCCATTCATGAATTAGAAAGCCACAAACCATAAGTATAAATGTAACCCGTTTACATATGGTACATTGATATTATCATCTTCCTCTGTTATCATGAGGTAGTAATATTGATTAATGTTCTCATTGAATCGCTTGTTTTAACACTTCTTGGAGGTAAATTTTGAAAAGCACTGAAGGCAGAATACTCATGGTGTGGTAAATTAAAATTTTTTGCTGTGAACGTTGCCTTGATTTACAGCTCATGCAGTATGTAGAACTTCATGACAAATAAAGGAGGGAAGGACTAAAGAGTTCTGCTTGTTTATATGAACATATCCCTTTAGCTTTTACCATGAAGTTGTACAAAAGCCAAAGCAAATTCCAATCTTACACTGTTGTAGATTAGGAGTAACTCAAGGAGTAATGAGTGAGTTACTTCCATGTAAAGCTGGTATACATGAGATCAGATTCAAAACCCCTGTGTTACTCACCAGGCTATAATAATGGCAAGCTACGTATCTAAAATATTGGGCCTGATTGTGTTCTTCTATTGTGTAATTGATTTCAGCAGAGTTACACTAGTGTGAGAAAATAATCAGTTCGCTCTGTCTTTGTTTTGTGTTCTCTAGTGTTTGTCCCTGTAGGTCCTTAATTTCTTAATGTCCATATGCAAATATACATATTTAGCTTGCATTTTCAAAGCAGTGAAATAATGTGCTAGTAACTCAAAAGTTGTCATTATCCTATCCTGTGATCAACAAAATGGAGTCTTTATGTCTCAGGCTGTTTTTGTTTCTATAAAGAGTTCTTCTGCTTTTTTGTTGTTAGTTGTTGATATAGCACTATATGTCTATGTTCACAATACCTATACAAAAGTCTCCATTTAAAAAGTCAGCACTTAAAATTACTGCACCACAGTATATGAAAACATTGTGGTATCTCAGGTAACATAATGTAGTAGCTATTGGTGAATGCTGTGTATTTTCCTCAAGTTCGTTATAAGCTTTAGTTATGCAGCCCTATTCCCATATATGTAAGAGAATTGCTTTAGTTCAGTGGAAAACTTGACTAATTTGAGAAACCAGGCATAGACTTTCCAGAAAATAATACATACTGACAGTGATTCTTAAAGGGTGAAACTAATTAAAGTGTGCCAATTGGTTCCAATGTGGTATTTGTTGGGACTGCATTATAAATGCTGAATCCAACTTTGCACAGTGTAGAGAAATTTCACATTGGGTCACTAATGAAATCAAAAAGTACTGTTCACACGATTCTAGAAACATGTCAACAGAGACATTAGATCTTTGTTTTAGTTCTGTAACATGAACTTAATATTAAGTGAGCAACTGTATGAAGAGCTGTATTTGTTTGTTTCCAGAAAAACTCGAGTAACTTTCTTTTGTTACACAGTTGACCTATCAGCACAACAGCTTCTTCTAATACATTAATAGAAGCAACATTAAACTGAATTCTGGTTCTGTCTGACTTGAATGATCTGGATGCTTTCTGATGGTAATGTTATCTCTTATGAATGTCTGCACAATGTCCATATTTATTGTATTGTCCACATGGAGAAATTTACTATGTTTTGAGCACGTGTAGGTAGCTCTCCTTTCTTCTTTGTATAATGATGTCAATATATCAGAATTATTGTTCAAAGTATAACCATTTTCATTGCTAAATGTGAGGAACATAAGTTATAAAAGTGTCTTCCAACCACTAAAGTGTTCTTGTATCAGCAGCTTTACGTTCTATCAAGCATTTTTTATTATTGAAATAAAAGCAAAACACTGCCACAGAAATAGATCATATGTCCTGCAGTCTCATCTTTTGCTCTATGTAATGAGTCTTCCATTGGAAGCAGGGTGGATAAAATAATAATTTTTAAATCAAATCAATTTTAATATAATTAGATTTTTATTTACATATTGGTAGGTCTTTAGCAATTTAAGATATCAAATTGGGAAGAAAGTGAGCATTGTGTACTTGTTTGGTTTCCAATTGTTAGTAGAATTTCAGATTTTACAGAGACTTTTTTTTTCTTTTACTGAGGAAATTTCACACTTAAAATGCTCATTTATACTAAGGAAAAAAAAAAGACGAGCCCTGGTCTTCATGAACAGCCTTACTGTGGTAATACTACATACTCAAACACAGAACGGATAAGCAAATAGCCCTTTCTATATTTACAGCCAATATCACCTTTCAATATATTGAACTTCCACAAGTCAAGATAGCTAAAATTCTTCAAACTGGCTTTGCTCCTCCAGCAGGGTTTATAGTTGGAAGTCAGTGGGATACATCTTGCTCCCAAATTACTTATGTGCCCTTGAAAATATGGACATAGAAGCCTAATTTTGAAAATGTTGGCCAATGTATAAACATGTTAATTTTGTTAATGGATTGCAAGTGTAAATAACTTTTTTGTTAAAAATTATGCAGTGTTGGTCTGAAGTGACAAATATTTTATGTCACTGTAGGTATGGCTAAACTGCAAATTAAGGTGTGATTGTAGTGCAAGTAGGCATACGTGTACCTTTAATCTAGCTAGTGGGGATAACAACCGTATTGAAAACATAGTGGCACATACTTCAGTGTGGGCTAGCCACTCCAGTACAAGCTTGCCAGTGACCCTGTGTATGAACTTGGGTTGCTAGCCTGTTCAGAAAAATCTGTGCCATCACATCTTCACTATGCTAGCTAGATCAAAGCTAACATGACTACCTGTGCTACAATCATACCTTAATTTGTGGTGTCGACATACCCTTTGAGAAACTTTTTCCCCATGAAAATACAACTTTACCACCTGATGCTGCAAACACTTCTTTATATGCTTAACTTTAAGCACATGGATAGTTCCATTGAAGTCAATGGGAATATTCATGTGAGTGAAGTTACATACCTGCTTAAGTGTTATTTTTCATTATTTTTTGTCTATAGCAGTTTTGTACATTTCAAATGTGTTTCTCTGCCAATAGAACATTTTCCCCTTGTCCCTGCATTTATAATTTAGTACATTATACATTTTAACCTAAATTTCACATTTAGTTTTACAAATCCTCAATCTGATTTAAATTAATTATAGGAAATCATGCTATTTTAATTTACACTTTGTATATATTGAGTGGTATATCTAATCATTACATAGTATGTATTATTTTCCAGCCAAACTCATGTTTTCATCACTTACTACGTACAAAATTCACAATGGTCCATATGTTCTGGAAATGATTTTCTCTGTATACATGCTGGGATTATGTTAAAGGTATATTAGGAGAGATACCTTTTTCTTTGAAGGAAAAGCTGAAGATTTTGGCATGATTTGGAACCTTTTTTTCTTGAATTCTTAAACACAATTCAGCTTTAAGGATTACATACAACTTTGTAATTAAACTAGTATTTTGTCAGTGTCATAGCTGTACAATGAATTACACAGTAATGTTTCAACCATCACAGAATATTTTCTGTTTTAGTCAAATACAGTAAACAATTAAAGCCAATTCTGTCAGAGCAATGAGTTGGTGAATACTTAATTGACAAAAGTGAGGTTTCTTCATTCAAGACTTCAGAGAAGAGCCCCAAGAATAATTAAAGGATTAGAAAATATGCCTTATAATAGCCTCAAAGAGCTCAATCTATTTAGATTAACAAAAACAAGGTTAAAGGGCAAGGGCGAAAGTAAGATAAAATACTTACCAGTACAGGGACCTGGCTCTGGGCCCCCAGAAGGGGCGGGGCCTCAGGCAGAAGGGGCAGAGCTGGGGGTTGACCTCCCCCAGCCAGCCCTTCCATGCTGCCTGGCCTGTGCCGCCCGGGGCTTCGGCCGCTGCCATGGAAGCAGCAGCCGGGAGCCCTGGGCCCTTTTAAATCGCCATCGGTGGCCCAGGTCGGGGGGCAGTGATGTTAAAGCGCTTCAATGGGGGACTGTGTACGGGCTGGTACCGGCAGCCACTTCTTAATGGTACACCGTACTGGCCCACTTTCACCTCTGTTAAAGGGTGACTTGAGTATAGTTTTATAGCAGTGGTTCTGAAACTTTTTTTTTTTTTGCAGTCCACTTGAAAATTGCCGAGGGTCTCGGTAGACCACTTAATGATCTTTCCAAATGTTGTTTGTACCGTTAGCTAACTATTGTAAAGTGCTTTGGATAAAAGTGCTATATAAAAACCTCAATTAATTAATGTTTTTTTGTTCTACAAATAAAAGCACACAACTCATATTTTAATATCAATAGTCTTACCTTTCTAATTCAATGGATGTTCCCTCTCTTCCCCTGGCCGGGGAAGCCCCTGAGAGTGGGGCCGGGAAGCGGGGGGGGGGGTCTCTTCCCGGCAGCCGCAGCCCTGGGGAAAGTCACCTCTTTCTCTGGCCGCTGCAGCCCTGCACGTCCCAAATTCACCCCATCCCCTCTTCTCAACCCCACTGCCCCCTCCCACCTACTTCCTGTACCCCAAGGCCACCACCTCACCTTACATGTGCATCTTCTCCAGGGTCCAGGCAGCTAATTAGTGGAGCCATATCTGCACGGCTCCACTAATTAGGTGGGTGGCCCTTCATTCTCTTGTGTGTGACCGTCTAGGTGTGCACCTTTAGAGGGAACTATCCGTGGACCACCTGAATGGAGCTTGCGGACCACTGGTGGTCCATGTACCACAGTTTGAGAACCTCTGGTCTATAGGTATCTATCTGCACAGGGAAGAAACGTTTAATAAATGTCTCTTCAATCTAGCTGAGAAAGGTATAATAGCTGGAAGTTGAAGCTAGACAAATTCATGCTGGAAATAAGGCATATATTTTTAATGGAGAGAGTAATTAACCATTGGAACAATTTACCAGGTACCACAATTCAGTGTGCCACTGCAGTAAATGAACACAAATTTCTTTCTAAAATTATCTGCACCTCTGAAAACCTGGCTTTGTAATGAAGAGAAGTTAAATGATCAAGAATGGACAGAACTAAATAAGAAAATTTAATCCCGAACTTCAGATATAGACTCCCTGGAGAATCTTCAGTCTTGTGTCAAACATCTTTCTCAACTTGTTCAGTGTGAAAATCTATTTCAAAGAGTCTTTGCTTAGCAGGTGGAGATTATATTAGCCATTTAGCTTTCTTAGTGTAGGCAAACTTCATCAGCTGGTTTTCCAAAAGTTGCATACTTTTTGTTGCATATTTTTATTACATTGATCAATTTTTCCTTACTTTTTCTATCTACTTTAATTTGCATAATAAAAGGATTTTAGTTAAATGGGTTCAAGCAACCAGTTATATTAAAGCCAGCAGTTGTAACTGTATGGAAAATTCAGTGCAACACTACATTGATTTCTCCCCCCCCCACCAAAAATATTAGATTTCTATCGATCGAAGTATTGACTTAAAAAAACCTACTTCACAACAGTAGGTTGTAAAGTTAGTATTAATTAATTTTGCAAAGAACAAAGGTACCCTTTGACACAGAAAATTATAGGAAGAAGAGGAGCGGTGCCTTCATGTAAATCAGGGTACTTGGAACAAGTTTTAGCTTTAGAAAGGCCAAGGCTGAAGAAGGCAGAAGTTTTTAATTCAGTGACGCTGAATACGTACAAGGATGAATGATACACAAGTAAATAGGTCTATATGAATGCAAAATGTCATGCTGGCATGAAATACGGTAGTAAAGTCCAGTCTCAATATAAACCTAGTTTAACTCTGACCTGCATCTGTCTCAAAACAAGGGGTGGGAAAACAGAAAAATGGGACCTAATTCAGATGAAAATATTCTGTGTGGCAATGCAGCACTGGTTCTTTTCAATCTTTTAGCATCAGTTCTTGTAATAAATGTCTCATTTTAGCCTAAGGTCAATGTCTTTGTTCTGTAGTGCATGTGCTATTACAGTGGAAACGTGGAGAAACCTAATTGGTTTTTCCGTTTCAACAGAATAAAAATCAAGAGGGAATACTACTTGGGAAGTAAATGTATATTAAGTGCACTTGTTGGAAACTTGTGTATTTGTTCTGAAAATCTATTTTGAGTACTGATAGCACAGGTGGTGTTTGGCATGTGTAACTTGTAGTGTGCAAATTATATATAAAATATTGTTTGAGCTTGTGGAGTTCTGAGTATATTCTTACAATTATGTTTTTTAATACCTGTGCCTCTTCATTCCAAAGTCAAAAACTGCTTTTCAGAAGTGTCTTTCTGAGCTCAAAAAATTGTTGTCTCTGCTATCAAAGAGAAGTCACAAGCCTACCTTTCTCCCTACTCAGTTTCTGTAAGTGTTAAGCACAGTCTGGTCCTCTCTTCCAGCTACCTGAAGCCTTAGAGGAGGAGACAAAGAACTGATATGATTGCATTTGGTGATGTAGTCCCACAGGAGCAACTGCTGTCTTCTCTGTGGCAGTGTCTGAACTCAGCTTGTCTGGTCCACACATAATCAATAGAGTGTGCCCAGCTCCTGCTTTCAAGCAGGAAGTGAAGGAAAGGACTGCTGAAAAGTGAATCTGAAAAAAGTGAAAGGATTTTTAGGGATGTAGAATTTTACTTCACTGATATTTTCGTTTAAAGGGGAAGATGGAGTACAGAGCTCTGCTTATACTGCTTTCACTTAACTCCATGTCCTGGTCTGCTCTTAAACCTTAGGTCAACCTAGCTATGTCACTCAGGGGTGTTAAGCTGTCCTAAACTCTGTTATTGATACCACTAGCTCAGGTTGATAGAATAATTCTTCCATTAACTACTGCCTTCCCCAGGGATGGCCTTGGCTACACTGGCAATTCACAGCGCTGCACTTGCTGCGCTCAGGGGTGTGAAAAAACACCCCCCCTGAGCGCAGTGAGTGCAGCGCTGTAAAGCGCCCGTGTAATCAGTGCCTGCAGCGCTGCACGCACGCTCGTTTGCAGCGCTGCAAGCTATTCCCCTTGGAGAGGTGGAGTACTGGCAGCGCTGCGAGAAAGCTCTCACAGTGCTGGTGGTGCGACTACACTCGCGGCAGCGCTGTGAATCCGCGAGTGTAGCCAAGGACAGTGATGGAAAACCCCCTTCCAGCGCTGTAGCAAC